GAATTGAATTTGTTACTCATCTGTCAAGTAAATAAACAAAAAGAAGACAATCAGAAAATGACTTATTTGTGTATTTTGGCTTCAAAATCATTTATAGCAACTAATGAATACTTTTACAATAATATAAAATATTTCACCAAAATTATAAAAAGGAGGGTTGTTTGTGGATCCGACCTGCTCTGAGCCTCTGCCGCCGCCTCTGAAATTTTGCTACTACTAGGGCTTTCTTTGTAGTTTGTAATTTTGTATACAATACTAAGTCTATACTTTTATATTTTATAGAATAAATATTTAACTTTGTATTCTATACTTCGGCCAGGCCTATAAATATTTAAAAAGACATTTTGTTCTAAGTAGCCCAGAAGAAACCAACCCAAAACAAAAGGAACTAGGATTCTTTGCCTGTATCTTCTGTTTGGCTCACAAAGTGGTCAGAGGTCGCTAGCCAATGAATGGCTGACCTAGAACGCGGGCGTGCCAGAGTCGTGATGGACTCAAATATTTTCTTGCCAAACTATTCCTACCGGGTCGGGTCGCCGACCTAATGTGATTCAGGCGAATGTTAGAAAGTAGGAATGACCCTCTCCTTAAGGTTGCTATTGCCTTTAAGAAAGGACTTCAAACATTTAAGATGAATATCAATTAGAAGCAACTTAAACTGAACAATAAATATACCTGAATCTACAAACCTTTCTTCATTGAACTTGATTGATTACAATGATGAATGCATTACAAACTCTTGATTGAAATGGAAACTAAAGTATTGAATGCTGAAAGATGAACTAAGTACTAAACTAATAGTGCTAAACTAAACTTGCTGAAATAAAAGCTAAGTGCTAAACTGAACTTGATGAAATAAAAGCTAAGTGCTAAGTGATATGAATGCTAAAGGTTGAACTTTAGAAATGGTCTTGGACCCCTTCCTTGTGAGGCTTGAGTGGGTATTTATAGAGGCTTCCACCTAGTGTTGTCCCTTTCAACCGTTTCTCTAGAAATTGATTGGTTGTAAGCTGAAAGTGACTTTTTCTAACCACCTTGCTGAGCTGGTCAGGTTGACTGACTTGCACACCCTTCTATAGGCAGATACAAGTATGTCTGACATAGTATTTTTGACTAAACGGTGCCTTTTCTTTCATGCTTGATGATTTTGGTCTTCAAGCTATTTTCAGCTCTCTGCACCTGTCATGTCTGGCTTGATTTGTACATTAGCCTGGAGTCATCTGATTACTGACAATTCTGACTTTCCTCATCAGATGTGGGTAAGAACCTTCCATCTATAGTTCTGAACTTCTGATATTGTCAAGTTGTCATTTTCTATTTCAAGCTCTTTTCACGTTTCCAGACTTGATCATGACCATATTTGGTCACGAGTCTTGATCATGGCCATAGTGATTAAAAATCCAGGTTAAGGTTCATGATCATGACCATTATGACTCAGAGTCTTATGATCCTATTGACTGAGAGGATTTTGACCGAAAACTCATGATCATTGAGACTAAGAGAATTTTGGCTGAAACTCATGACCATTGAGATTGAGACTCTCATGACCATAACGACTGAGAAGATTTTGGCTGAAAACTCATGATTATGACCATTGAGAAGATTCTGGCCTAAACTCATGACCATGAGACTGAGACTCTCATGACCATTGTGACTGAGAGTATGATGATTGAGAAACTCATGATCATTGAGACTGAGAGGATTTTGGCCTAAACTCATAACCATAGTGACTGAGAGAAATTTGGCCTAAACTCATGACCATGAGACTGAGACTCTTATGACCATAGTGACTGAGAGAATTTTGACTGAAAACTCATGATCATGACCATTGAGAAGATTTTGGCCTAAACTCGTGACCATGAGACTGAGACTCTCATGAGCATAGTGACTGAGAGTATGATGACTGAGAAACTCATGATCATTGAGACTGAGAGGATTTTGGCCTAAACTCATGACCATAGTGACTGAGAAAAATTTGGCCTAAACTCATGACCATGAGACTGAGACTCTCATGACCATAGTGACTGAGAAGATTTTGGCCTAAACTCATGATCATGATGACTGAGAGAATTTTGGCCTAAACTCATGACCGTGGGACTGAGACTCTCATGACTATAGTGACTGAGAGAATTTTGAGTGAAAACTCATGATCATGAGACTGAGAGAAATATGGCATAAACTGACTGAGAGAAATTTGGCCTAAACTCATGATCATGACCATTGAGACTGAGAGGCTCAATTATGGCCAGTTATGAGCTCGAAAACATTATCTCAGTCTTAATGGTCTAAAAATTCCACTTTTCTTAATTCTCAACCTTAAATCTGATCACCATGATAAGAAATTAATCTTTCGCCCCAATGATCATGGGTTGACCCAAAGTTTAGACCTCGTGATTTCTAACCACGTGGCATGTTTGCTTCGAATTATATTTTAGGTGTTAACAACTGCCCCCAACCCTATGAAAATGGGTTCATTCCGAATTTTTGTAGAGTTGTATTTATTTAGACTTGGAGTCTCTAATCTGCAACAGCCATTTGTATCTAGGCCATTTTACATCCCAAGTGTGTTTTTTCAGCATTCAAGCACTTGCCAATAAGATCAAAATCGAAGCACTACACTGCCATTTGGTGGCTGTTATATGCCTCATAAAATCATCCCAAGGTCTCACCATTAAAACAATTTTTGATGTCGAAGCTGGCAATGTCACCCTTTACTTTGGCAACTTCTTCTCCCTTTTGGTGGGGGATTAGCTGCACACCATATACCAACTTGGAATGTATTTTCACCTATATTAACGAAAACTAAAAATGTGCAGTTTTGCAATGACAAATATATATCCCCGCAAAAATTTATGCATGCAATTGTAACGTCTCCAGTGCACTTAAAGAACCCATTGAGTTTGAGATTTTACCATCCAGATTGTTACTCCTTTTTCCATTCATCTCTTGGCACAGGAATAGGGGTGCTCATATTTGTGGTGACGTCGGCGAGCTCTGCAAACTGCATGGTTGACTCCAGTGCTTCACCGGTGATGGTTTATCATCAAACAGCGGTAATCTTCATATTACAAAGCACTGCAATATGTTCACCCCAGGCCGGCGTTGGCCATGGAGAGAGTACGGGCACTGGTGTACTTCTGGATGAAGTCCTTGCCGGCAAACCCGTAGATAGGCTCGCCGCCGCAAATGGTGCTATTTTTCTTTGCAAAACTGATGGTTCCGTATGCAGTTTATTCTGCAAGCTAGAGTTCCTTTATGTTCGGTCATAAATCGTAGGAATCTAACAATCATCAAATTAAACAATTTGAAACTCTTTTGAACACAGGCTGTCAAATAATAATATATGAACTTCCTGTATGTGGATTCCATTTGCAAGTTTGGAAGAGATACAAACTGAAATTACCAAGGGAACCATTTTAAATATGAACGATTAATGATTGAGCATGTTGTCCTCAGACAAATTTTCATATTAGATCTCCGTTTGTCTATTGAACTATCATTTGCAAACAATTAATTTGTTCACACAAAAATAATGTGCAAGCTTTGAAATTCTTCTAGTCACCTACACTTTCATTTTATATCACCTGATGTCCAGCAATAAGAGCATCTACAATTCAGCTAACGTCGGCGAGCCCTACGAACTTCATGAACTATGGACCGGCGTCCGCCATGAAGCTTTCACTGTCGATGCCACCGCCGTTAGATGGATCAACCGCCGTTGGAAGGACCGGACGATAATGAAGACTCCAACCGTCTTCTCCGTCAAATGGCTAGCCATGCTCAAAAATATTTCATAAGGCAGGAATGGGAGTCTTCAAAATATTTCTATGGGCCGAGAATTTTTGCCGGCGTTAATGACGATTGTGAGGTAGATGGCGACTGGAAACACCAACGTTAATTACCAACGGCGTTGATCACCGTTTCTATTGCAAGCACCATTGTTGTCGCCCCCATCGGCGGCGTCATCGCCGGAGATGGTACTCCCATCGTTTTCCATATTTTCGTGTACCCGACAGTTTTGGGTTTTGTTGAGCTGAGCTATCGCCTACAGTTTGCACCGACAACAAACTGAAACTTGCCGGAGTGGATTGAATCTCGCCGCAATTAGAGAACTCTCGTCGGCGACTTAAACTTGTCTCTGAAGTTTGGTCCGTTGTTTGTTGGAGCCTGCGTCGGGCATCGCTGAAATTGCAAACCTCGCCGGCAACTCACTGAAACTAAAACTTGCCTGAGCAAGAGTACGCCGGAATTATGTTGATTTTGAGTGGAGGCTCGGCGGAACATGGAAGGAGAGAGAACAACACTGCGACAACAATGAGGTCTTGAAAGCCATCTGTCCCGATGATCCGCCAACCGTCATTCTTCCTCCGGCGACTCCTCTCTCTCTACAACTTTCTCTCTCTAAAATCTGTGTGGTTTCTCTCTCTAGGAGTCTGGGGTTTAGGAGTGTGAGGATGGCGATCGGTGGTGGTTCGGCTCTCACCGGATTTAATGAAAGCCGTTTGGACTGGGTACGCTTCAATGGTATTGTGCATTTTATAAATATACACATACATATATGTATATATTTACTTTATACAACATGCATGCATGGTGCAATGTCATCCATCCAACCAGCATGGTGCAAACCTTGGACATTTATATATATATATATATACATTCACTTTATACCATACACATGCTGACCCATCCGGCCACCATCATGCAAACCCATTTTTTAATGGGTGTTAGACCAACACTTGGGCTATCCTGTGAAAAATAATAATAGGATTATTACGTATAAATGGGGTTAGGGTACCATATTTACTTAAAAGCTAAGTTAAAGTCCCATAGTTTTCTTAAAATGAGTTTGACCCAAAAGCTGAGGTGGCACATGAATTTTTACTGTTTAGAACTTGTGGTACCTAAAATGCCTTTCCCCTTTTTTTCTGTGTTGCCTAAAATGCCCTTTCTCCATATTTTAATATATGAACCTAATTGCAGCCCTAGCATTCGTTCAGTGCAGCCCTCTCTCTCTCTCCGCCTCTGTAAAATCTAAAAGAGAAGAAAGCTTCTCAAAAACCCTAGTTGCTTCTTTACTATTGGTGATTCCACCCATCCCCTAACTAGGAACTGTAACAGCAGAACAACAAAAACTGCCATATCCTTGGCCGCAGTCGAATCGAGAGGGGGTACAAGTACGCCAGTGCTTTTCTTTGGCTATCCTCGCTATCGAGCTAGACTGATTGACACTGCTTTACTCCCCGGTCTTTCTTTCTCTCCGAAGGCTTCAACGAGAAAAGAGGGGTTAATCTTGGCCCGGAGAAAGTCAGGCTAGCAACGCCCAAATAAGATGCCCTCTCTCTCCCCGTCTCTGTAACCCAGCCGTAGTGGTATCCCCACTTCTCAAGTTCAGATTTCTACTATTCTTCTAACTCTCAACTTATTTCCTTCATGGCCTCCCTTCAGGTTCATCTTTCTCTCTCTCTCTCCCACACACACACACAAACATATTGTTCTTAATCTCACTGCATAACTAGCTCTTACGATTTTAATTTTTTGTTTAATTTAAAGTAACTGTTATGCTTTTATTATTACAATAAGCTTATGTACACTCATTTTGCTGTTGATGGTACTATTCATGCATCATTAAGAATTTATTGGCAAAAGAAGGACAATTGAGAATCAATTTAGTGCTGTCTAAAACGTAATGGAATTATTTGTTCCCATGGAATCCAAATGTCCCCATTCCTTTCCATGATTATATAGTATTGTCATTCTCATCATTTTATCAGTTAAGATAAAATTCCCATATTGGGAAACAAGAATAAAAGATGCATATTGCATCATTAATAAAGCATGCATAGACTTGAAACTTGAATGACAACCAGTTTAGATGGAGGCCAAACACAAGTTCATGGTGATATATATATGTGTTTGTATGTGTGTGTGTGCGCATATATGAAATTTCAATGTCAATTTATAATTCCCTTGACAAAACCCCACATTTAATAGTACATGACCTGTAATATGTGAACACAGAAGTGTTGCCTTCTGACATGAACAGAAGGTGCTAAACACACATCACCATACACATAAAAGGTGAATCTTGTTATATTTGAATATTTGAATATCCTATCCTTGTTGTAGAGACTTAAGTAGCGAAGAAAGTATAAAATAATAATAATAAAAAAGTGTCACTCACTTCTTATTTTGCATTATATAGTATGGGTGAAATCCAGTATAGAGTCAACAAGTGTTTGACACAGTAATACCAAGCTTGAGATCCAGGTTAGTAAGGGATGGTTTTAGTATTGTACTTGTAGTCTGAACTTTCAATTAATATTAAATAATGGTGCTTTTAATGGTTCGAAAGAGTATTAAAATGTTAAGCTTATAATCTGGTAAATACAGATCAAATTGGACAAAGAAAAGAAAATTATTAGGCTGGCCGTGATAGAGGGATAGGTATGACGAAAGAGGATTTGATTAAGAACTTGGGAACCATAGCCAAATCTGGAACATCAGGTATCTTTATTTGTTTATTTATTTTTGATAAATTTATGTATCTTTATTTTGTAAAGGATGAATGTATTCCAATTACAACATTGACTTTTCTTCTTTCCTTTGTGGGATTGAGGAATGATGGGCATTGATTAAATTTACTTTTCTATACAGCTTTTGTGGAGAAAATGCAAACAAGTGGAGACCTTAATCTCATTGGTCAGTTTGGTGTTGGGTTCTACTCAGCATATCTTATTGCTGACTATGTTAAAGTTGTTAACAAACATAATGATGAAAAACAGTATGTCCCTTTGGGTCATTTCATTTTCAAGCAATTGTTACTATCTTATGGTAGAAATATGATGTTTATTTAATTATTTCCTCAGGTATGTATGGGAATCAAAGGCTGGTGGAGCATTTGCTATTTCTGAGGATGTTTGGAATAAGCCACTTGGTCGTGGAACTGAAATCAGATTGCATCTTAGAGAAGAAGCCGGGGAGTACTTGGAGGAGATCAAATTAAAGGTGTGTAAACTAAAAATGTATGATGGATGATAATTTTCAGTTGGTTTTTAGATTAGTACCTTTGTTTTTAGATTATAATGATTTAATTGAATAAATGATGTTATAATAAATTAAGTAGTAATTTATCAAAAAGATAATTCAATTAGCCCCAATTGGATTAATGAAGAATCGAGTGGATGTTATTAAGCATGGAAAGTCAAATGGGTTTCCAATAAAAGAGATAATGGTTGTGAAATACGAAAAATGAGGATAGTCTGAAGAATAATGTTCCAGCAAACCTCACGAAGCCATTATTCCATCTTCCTCACTCTGCTAAATCCTCTTCCACTGGTTTTGTTTCCAATTCAAAATCTTTCATCCCAGTCAAATCCATAGCTACCAAGGTCATCTCCGAACCCATTCTCTCTAAATCAACCATTATCTCTACCAAACAAATTCTTAGCACCAAAACATATCTTTCTTATTTCACTAATGAGATCTAATAATAAAAATGGTTATGGAAGAGTCAAGTCATTAGAGAAACTTATTTGCTTTTGTTAAAATAATTGTTAGCACCATAATTGAGAAGATCTATTACCAATCAATAGAAACTGTCCATGATACTGGAACAATCATAGCTCTGTCCTCCAGTGTCTTTTTTATCGCTATGTCCATGATACTGGAACAATCATACCCAATCCATTTTTTTTTTTCTACTCTCTCTCCCAGATGTTTCGGGCATAATTTTATTGAAGAGGAAGACTTGAACACACAAACACACCTAATCGAGGATACTTAAATCCTAAATATAGCAGTCTAGATCAAGGATCGAGTATCACATAATATCAAGAGAGGGATTCAACCTTACTTATCAAAAAAAAAAAAAAAGAAGAGAGGGATTCAAAACAAGTGTTTTTATTTATTTATTTATTGAGGTACAAGATATTCAAAACATAATTTCAATACCGTATCATTTTCCTTATCCTACCTAATAAAGGTAGCAAGCAAGGGAAGGTAAAATTGCATCTTGACGACATTAATATTATGTGTGTATATTATTGAAATATATATGTAGTATAAAATAACTTCTATATAGAAATTTATATATTTTATCGCTATGTCCTCCGGTATATTAATTTTTTGTTTTTGTTTTTGTTTTGTTTCTATGTGTGTGTTCGTGTCCGTGTCCGTGTCCTGTGTCAATATCCATGCATTTTAGCAAACCAATCTTGAGAAGCTCCTTTTACTTATAGGGGTAGCTAGTTTATTCCAACTTGAAACACGTCTTCTGGATGTACAAATTGAAGCTTTTGCCTGATAACAAAGCCCCCAAAAGACTCTCAATCTCATCATCCATGGCCAAAATTGAAAAGCCTTCCTATAGTGAAGAAAATAGAAAAGCTGATAAGGATAATGAAGAATAAGAGAGGAAGCCTTTGGTCTGAAAATAAGAAACGCTTTAGTTGAATCTTCTCATTTCTTCATTCAAAATAAGAGAGGAAGCCTTGAGTGGAGCATTTGTGTGAAAATGGTATTACAAAATTCCCTAAGAAGTACATATTGCCCATTTCAGACCGACCCAATTCATTCAAAGGAAAACTATACCAGTCTCAGCTTAATCTCAAGTTTCCCATCATTGATTTTGCTAAATTACAAAGTCCAAACCGGTCCCAAGTCCTCAAGTCCCTCGCCCATGCTTGTGAACAATATGGATTCCAAATAACAAAAAACTGAAAAAGCCATAATATGTAATTAGAATGGTGGAAAAAATTTGGGGTTCGGGTTGAGTCCAGCCCAACTCGAATATGTTTGGATTTTGACAAAATCTAACCCAAACATAAACCCGATTTGTGAATTTAAAGCCTCAATTTTAAAATTTCTAAGTTGGGCATAGGTTGGGCTGGGTTAGCTAGCCCAAGTTACAGCCCTAGGTATAAGGGTTATAATTACTTATAGAGCATAATACGTTTTGATATGTCGTCTCTTCTATTATTGTGCAAGCATTTGAGCCTAGTCTTGCTTCATCTAGTGCATTGCTATTGATTGATGTGATCAATTATGAGTAGCTATCAATTATAAATGTCTAGACACCATCTCATTACTAGGTGGTTGGAATAGGAGGATGAGTCACGCTTATGGTGGGGTTAGTGTTTTCCTAAAACCAGTTATGGAATGGACAATTGATAGGAATCACTTGATTTCATAGCTTATTATAAGAAGTTGACCTATTTTATAGTGAGAAACCAGATATTCTCTTCCTAGAATTGTTTCATTCATCAAAGACAGTAGACAAGCTAGAACTTCAGAATTATGTGACCTTAATTAATGAGAGAGGATTTTGTTTTGGACCACAAAAAAATTTCGGTTCGTCGTTTTAAATTTAATTTAATTTGACAACTGTATTAGAAAATTAAAAGAAACCAAAAACTGTCTTGGTATGGATGATGGCTTTAGGATACTGTTGAAGAAAATACTAAAAAAAAAAAAAAAACTGTGTTGGTGTAGGAGTGATCCCGAAGTAGGGTTATAAAAGAAATTAAAGGCTCAAAATGTGATATTTAACTTGTTAATCTTAAAATATAGTTGCAGTTTCTTTGTCCAGTTCTTTTATGATCCTGTTTTCTTACCCCTTGCTGAAAATATCCCATATTGGATCTTGGTTCCCTTTACTATTTAGTCTATTACTGCTTACATATCTTGTTCACTGATAATCAAGTTAAATTATACCTGTAGTTGAGAATCCAATATAATTAATTAGTCTCTCTAGGTGTATACCAAAATTTACATGAAAATACAAAACGGGTCACGGGGATTTAGACCTCCATTACCCAATTTAGGGTTTGATTATTAATTGTATGGGAAAGCAGTATTGTTTATCAGGAGTAGGCGGAATTAAGTTGCCAAATGCCTAAATTAATTGGTCTCTCTTGTCTTGATTTTGTTTATTTATGTATGTTATTTTGTTCGTACTTTTTGGTAGTAGTTTCTTCGCTACATTTTGTTTGTCAATGATGATGATATCTATTTGATTCATAAATGACAATCTTGTTCTTTCCCTTTTGTGATTAGCATACTGAATTTGAGACTTGTGTGATACAGTTACTTGCTAGGATTTTGTACCATGGACAATGAGGTGGTTTTTTGGCAAGTGCAGACTGAAACTCAAGTGCTAGAAGGTTTATAAATTTGCTAAATAGAAGTGCTAGGAAATTGATGATATTCTTGACAAATGGATTTAGTTCCTGTTTTGGAACATTGATGAATGGTGAATTGTTTTGGAACATTAGTAAATGATGAATTTTTTAATTGTAGAATGAATTTTTTTTTGTAGTGATAGATAGACACCATTCATGCACAACTTGAAAAAGTGATGGATGAAATAATTTAAAGATTATCCAAATGATATAAATAATTTATAGAAGGAAATCTATTTAAAAAAGAAATTAACATTACAATAGTTTTGTTAAAATAAAAACATTAGATAAGTAAATTGCACTTACAAATAGGGATGCCAATACTCTGCCTCATGACAACAATGCCACTATTTATAACTTTTTCAAACACTAAGGCTTTTTCTTGATGATGTGACCATACCTCTTTATCTGCCATGGTCTAAGGCTGTTTTACATTATTTGGCTTTTTGTTCAATCACATGGCTAGTCACAGAATAGGATTCTTACTGAAAAAATCAGCTCTTGTAGATACACAAAACCAACCCACTTTCTCATCTTATCATCACATGGCTAAAGTTAAAAATAGTGGTGCTAAGTGCATAAACACGTGAACTATTATGCAAGACACCCCTATAATGCCAAAGAGAGAGAGAGGTGTAAGTCCCTTTTGTCAAATTATCACATGGGTAAAATTCATTCACATGTATATAAATTGGGCTTTGTAAGTAGACATATGGCATATGTACAAAACCATAACATTAGCACTAGTAAATCTCAAGTACTGAGTTTTTTTGAGCAATAACGGGGAAGTGGAATTCATAAAAATACTGCATAAAATTAGTAAATATTCATACATTTCATATAAATACTACATAAAATTAAACTCAACAACTAAGTTTTTTTTAAGTTTTTTTGAGCAATAACGGGGAGGTGGAATCACAAAGTCATCATCCCCTGGATCTGAATAATCTGATAACTCTGAATCAACTTATAAGTCTGGATTATTAGTGATGGCTTGAATAACTTCAGTTGGATCCTTATGCATTTTCTTTGCAATGGAAATGCTCTCATTCCTGCAACATCTAACATATAGATTTTTTAATAGTTTTGATTAAATATGAGAAAAAATAAAGATGCTACATAATCAAAGTGCACTTAGAAATCTATTTTAAAAAGAAATTAACATTATAATAGTTTTGTTAAAATAAAAACATTAGATGAGTAAATTGTACTTACAAATAGGGATGCCTATACTCTGCCTCATAACAACAATGCCACTATTTATAACTTTTTCAAACACTAAGGCTTTTTCTTGATGATGTGACCATACCTCTTTATCTGCCATGGTCTAAGGTTGTTTTACAATATTTGGCTTTTTGTTCAATCACATGGCTAGTCACAAAATAGGATTCTCACTGAAAAAATCAGCTCTTGTAGATACACAAAACCAACCCACTTTATCATCTTATCATCACATGGCTAAAGTTAAAAATAGTGGTGCTAGGTGTATAAACACGAGAACTATTATGAAGACACCCCTATCATGCCAAAGAGAGAGATGTGTAAGTCCTTTTTGTTAAATCATGATATGGGTAAAATTCATTCACATGTCTGTGAATTGGACTCTATAATTAGACATATGGCATATGCACAAAACCATAACATTAGCACTAGTAAATCTCAGTTGTTGATGTATGGACCAAAAGTATATAGAGCGAAAGTACTCGTTAGGAGATGCGTGGATTGAAAGTAGTTGTTTTACATTCTCAATCGTTCTCAAACTATTCCATTTTTAACTCCTCATATCGATGGTTCATTTTTTTATGTAACACTAACCTGGCATATAATCGTCATCCCCTCCATCGAGATTTGGTGTGTATTTATTTTTCAATGTGTTCAAGTGTGTATTTATTTTTCCTTCAATAAATGTTTTGATTGTGTTTCTACAAATGTACCCTGTATTTATTTTGCTATTATTTGGCTTCTATTCATTATAGCATTATAAGCTATTCCATTTTTAACTCCTCATATTTGAAATTATTCCATTTTTAACTCCTCACGACTTCGTGAGGCCATGAGACCCCTCCAATGTATAGGAATTTGCTGCTTGCCATTGTCTTCAACCAGTAAATGTTCTTCCTTCATATATAATAAAATATTAGGAAATCTCCTCACTATATATAATAAGATACTAGGAAATTTTCGAACTCTAGTGAATTGTCTTCCATAAATTCATGCCAACCCTTGTAAAAATATTTTGTGTTGTTAACCTCTCTCACTTCAACCCGCCACGATTTGCTTGCATAACTCCTAATTATAGACTTGGAAGATAAAACTCTATCAAATTGCTTAAGGAACGCTGGTGGAAGTTGCAGTCGTTGAGAGCTCCGTTCCGAGAGAAAAACTTTGAAGAACTAAGGACACTAATCAGGTAAGGAGAACTTTTTGCAAAGTACTATTCCATAATGGAACTGGCATAAAAGCAGCTTTTTTACCTATCAGGTAGAGAATAATTGTTTTTAGGATATCTTGTAGAATATAAATAAATAAATAAATAAAATAAATTAGCAAAGAAACAATGTTTCAAGTGATGTTGGAGTATATTTTGTACTATTCATTCCCTCAAGTTAGCTAGATTAGAATAAAGTTTGTACTCTTTATGGCACTAATGGATTTATTTATGGATGTAATGTGCAACTTAATTAGTGGTGTGGGGTGTAATACCATTTTCAATTGCAAAAATAAGTCCATTTTGCGAAGGTACCACTTTTTTTCCAAAGGTACCACGTTTTTGAACTAAAGGTACCACTTTTTGGCGTCCAGGTACCATGTTTTCTAAACACTCGCGTAGCTAGCATGGAGAATATTTTGTATTATTTATGGCCCTAATGGAGCTATTTATGAATGTCATGTGCAACTTAATTATAGGTGTGGTGTATAATTTTTTTTTTCAATTGCAAAAATAAGTCCCTTTTTTGGAGTCTAGGCATTGCGGGATTTTCTAAACACTCGCTTAGCTAAGTTGAAAAATATTTTGTGTTATTCATGGTGCTAATGGAGCTGTTTATGGATGTAATGTACAACTTAATTAGCGGTGTGGGGTGTAATATCATTTTCAATTACAAAAATAAGTCCCTTTTGCAAATGTACCACTTTTTTTTCCCAAAGGTACCACGTTTTTGAACTGAAGGTACTACTTTTTGGTATCAAGGTACCACGTTTTCTCTAAACACTTATTCATGGCGTTAATGGAGCTATTTATTGATGTAATGTGCAACTTAATTAGCGATGTGGGGTGTAATACCATTTTTAATTGCAAAAATAAGTCTCTTTTGCAAAGGTACCACTTTTTTCCCAAAGGTACCACGTTTTTGAACTGAAGGTACCACTTTTTGGCGTCAAGGTACCACGTTTTCTCTAAACACTTATTTATGGCGCTAATGGAGCTGTTTATGGATGTAATGTGCAACTTAATTAGCGGTGTGGGGTGTAATACTATTTTCAATTGCAAAAATAAGTCCCTTTTGCAAAGGTACCACTTTTATTCCAAAGGTACCATATTTTTGAACTGAAGGTACCACTTTTTGGCGTCAAGGTACCACTTTTTCTCTAAACACTTATTCATGGTGCTAATGGAGCTGTTTATGGATGTAATGTGCAACTTAATTAACGGTATGGGGTGTAATACCATTTTTAATTGCAAAAATAAGTCCCTTTTACAAAGATACCACTTTTTTCCCAAAGGTACCACGCTTTTGAACTGAAGGTACCACTTTTTGGCGTCAAGGTACCACGTTTTCTCTAAACACTTATTCATGGTGCTAATGGAGCTGTTTATGGATGTAATGTGCAACTTAATTAGCGGTGTGGGGTGTAATACCATTTTCAATTGCAAAAATAAGTCCCTTTTGCAAGGGTATCACTTTTTTTCCCAAAGGTACCACGTTTTTGAACTGAAGGTACCACTTTTTAGCGTCAAGGTACCACGTTTTCTCTAAACACTTATTCATGGCGCTAATAGAGCTGTTTATGGATGTAATGCGTAACTTAATTAGCGGTGTGGGGTGTAATACCATTTTCAATTGCAAAAATAAGTCCTTTTTGTGAATGTACCACTTTTTTCCCCAAAGGTACCACGTTTTTGAACTGAAGGTACCACTTTTTGGCGTCAAGGTACCACGTTTTCTAAACACTCGCTTAGCTAGCTTGGAGAATATTTTGTGTTATTCATGGTGCTAATGGAGCTGTTTATGGATGTAATATGCAACTTAATCACATTACACATATATGTTTATTGAGATAGTGTGCTATTTTTTTGACAACTATTGAGATTAAATTATCCATTTATCGACAACATAGAACCAAGGAAACAACAGGCCAATTTTTCATTCATTAAACTTCTTTAATTTTAAACTTGATCAAATTTGAAATTAGTACATTAATATAATAGTGAAAGAAAATTCAGTGAAACCCTAATATAATAAGCCATACAATACTAATTCATAAAAACCCAAAAGAACAACTTCATTTGATTCTATCTAAGGTAGATACCAGTATAATAAGCCATACAATAGTTGCAAAAACATACCAACCTAATCCACAATCAAAAGTTGCAAAGCTACTCTTCTTTAAAACTTAAAAAATAGCTAACACCAACAGATTGCAAAATATATGCAAAAAAATTGACACTGTTTAACATTACAAATGTCCCATATCCCACATCATTTCAAGTACTTTATAGAAAATTCAACGATCCTCCTATCCCACTTCTTCTAGCTTCCAATTGGGCAAATATAGGTATGTATTTTCTTATTCTGTGGTAAACCAATTTGTTGCCCTTATCCTTTGTGTGGTCCTAGTGAGAGTCTCTTGTTTGTGTATTTGATGGATATGCATTCTTTCTGTCTCTGTGTAGTTGGAACAAATAACCATTTTATCTCTGTGATTGTCACATGCAATAAAAATTAAAGTATTAAGACATTGTATAATAATAATAAGGAACAAAAGCAATATAAAAATAGACAATTTAAAACTTTGAATAATAATAATAATTTTAAAAAGAATCATCAAAATTAAAAAAGAATTTATAATTTGCCCAACACCTTGCAATTAACCTTATTATCCAGCTTAACAGTACTGCT